TCACGGACTGTAACACACACACAACAGCCCAAAACAGCCCAAAAACAGCCCAAAAGCGCCCCAAAAACCTCCTCACGGACTGTAACACACACACAACAGCCCCAAAACAGCCCAAAAACAGCCCAAAACCGCCCCAAAAACCTCCTCACGGACTGTAACACACACACACAACAGCCCCAAAACAGCCCAAAATCACCCCAAAACAGCCCCAAAAACCTCCTCACGGACTGTAACACACACACAACAGCCCCAAAACCACCCCAAAACCACCCCAAAACCACCCCAAAAACCTCCTCACCGACTGTAACACACACACAACAGCCCCAAAACAGCCCAAAAACCTCCTCATGGACTGTAACACACACACAACAGCCCCAAAACAGCCCAAAAACCTCCTCATGGACTGTAACACACACACAACAGCCCAAAACAGCCCAAAACCAGCCCAAAATCACCCCAAAACCGCCCCAAAAACCTCCTCATGCACTGTAACACACACACAACAGCCCAAAACCACCCCAAAAACCTCCTCACGGACTGTAACACACACACAACAGCCCAAAACAGCCCAAAACCAGCCCAAAACCGCCCCAAAAACCTCCTCACGGACTGTAACACACACACAACAGCCCCAAAACAGCCCAAAATCACCCCAAAACAGCCCCAAAAACCTCCTCACCGACTGTAACACACACACAACACCCCAAAACCACCCCAAAAACCTTCTCATGCACTGTAACACACACACAACAGCCCCAAAACAGCCCCAAAACAGCCCAAAACCACCCCAAAAACCTCCTCACCAACTGTAACACACACACAACAGCCCAAAAACACCCCAAAAACACTCCCAAAAACCTCCTTGTGGATTGTAACACGCACACCCCAAAAACACCCCAAAAAACATCTTCACGGACTTAAACACACACCCAACAGCCCAAAACCGCCCCACAAACACCTCAAAAACACCCCAAAAACTTCCTCACAGACTGTAACACAGACACATACACACAGAACAGCCCAAAACCATCCCAAAAACAACCCAAGAGCACCCTAAAAGCAACCCTAAAACCTCCTCCTGTAACAGGCACACACAAAAATACCCCCAAACCACCCCAAAATCTCCCCCAAAACCCTCCACATGTAACACACACACAACCCTCTAACCATAAAAAAATGATTAAAAAAAAATCCCCCCAAAATTCCCAATAAAACATAGAAAAACCCCACAAAAGTGACAAGAAAAGGCCAAACAAATACTGTAAAAAGACCAAAAGAAAAGATAATCCCTAAAAATGGCAAAAATAAAGAACAGAAAGAAGTCACAAAAAAAGAGACAAAATCAGAAAAAAACCCCTAAAAATCACAAAAATCATGAAAAATCAAAAAAACAGAAGCAGGGACACATTCCACTATCCCAGGGTGCTCCAAGCCCTGTCCAACCTGGCCTTGGACACTTCCAGGGATGGAGCAGCCACAGCTTCTCTGGGAAAACTGTGCCAGGGCCTCCCCACCCTCACAGGGAAGAATTTCCTATCATCAAACCAAAATTTCCTCTCTTTCTATTTGTATCCATTGCTCTTTGGCCCATCATACAGTTCCTGACAACTGAGATATTATTAATATAGTTATAGTTAACATTAGTACAGTTAAATAGTTAATTATTAATATCATCCTTGTATTAATAATTAATAAACAGTTGTTATTATTATTATTTTTGGCATGAATCTTCCAGCTGTAATGTCCCAAATTGTGATTTGCCTCGAGTAGTGACACTGATTTAAATCACAGAGCTCACTTCTATGGATATTCTCTTCAGAGAACAGCCAGGTAGGGACAAACTTACCTTAAACAAAGCATTAAATAACATTAATTAATTATACTAATAATAATAATAAGTTACTTCTCAGGCAGCCACTACAGCTGGGATCTAGAAGAAAATCTAAAGATCCAGGAAAAAATTGTTGCAGTGGGTTACTGGGAATACAGATAATTAAAACATGGTTAAAAAACCCACTTCATCACAAAAATCAAAGGTTTGCTTGCCATTCCAAATTGATTATTTCTATTCTTTTTAATCAAATTTTAAAAAAAGAAAATATCACTGACTAAATTAGGTAAATGGGCATCACTGCAAATGCTACTCACACTTCTAGCATTGCCAACAAAAGAAACTCTATTGATCAGTTCATTCCACATGCTCCTTAAAATATCAGACCATAACTAGTAAGTCCCCAAGTTGGCAGACTAAAGATTTTAACTTACTTTTTAAATCTTCCACATTGTTTCTCCATTTCCTGAAGCATTTTACTCAAAACCAAGAAAAATTTAAATGCCTTATTTTTAATTCCCCTCTTTCAGAGCTTAATGAACTTGGGGCTGGTGGAGACCAGATCCTATTTTCAATCATTACAGAGCAAAGGGTGTTCTCAGACTGTTTTTTCCAGTCTGAAGCCAAAGGGGAATTTTGTATCAAGAAAAGTAGGATTTCTTTCTTCTACAGCCTGTTTTTTAGTGGGTCTCACAGCACACGATAAAGGTGATAATTATCATCATACCCCCAGACACTGGAACAACAAGAGGTGCAAGATCCCAACAATTAAGGGAAGAGTAAAGTTATAACATAAGCAAAGCCTATGGCTTGGCTTCCTTGAGTTCTGGAGGCCTGATAGGATAAATAGTGGCAAAGTTATTTGCATGGCCTTGGAGCTGGTGAGCAACAAGGAATGCAGCAGAGCTGTCTGATGCAAAAAACCCCTTATCATCTAAAAAATATACAAAGCCAGAGCAAAGATCTGGATGAGGTTCCAGGCAATGCAAACACAGGGTGGTAACGAGCATGTAATTTGCTGGCTGCATGGCTGGAGCTAACCTTCAACTTGATGAATTTAGTTTTATTGTGACTGCTCTAGAATCTAAATTAAGCCCTCTAACCTTGTGCTTCTGAAATGAGATGCAGCAGCAGCAGCTTCAAAACCAGACAATTAAAGCTGCTCCCTTAGTAGCAGTATGAGAGGACTACACGGAGCAAGTGCCACTTGTACCACCACTCATCCTCGTGACACCCTCTAGTAACAACTCCAAACCCCAACTCCTCCAAACTATTCCCTGCAGATCCTTGGTGTAGCTGTGTCAGGCTGGGACAGCCTGGCTAAAAAAGATAAGAATTTTGGGAAGGCTTGTAAGGTTAATAATTCCCACAGACTTTTCTGTGCTTTTTGTTTTAACTGCAACATTTAACTATTCTTAATCCAACTATTTTCTGTTCAAAAGGTTTACAGTAGGTTTGAAATTTGTTATTTTCAAGAGTAATATCCTAACAAGTTATTAACCTAACCTAAGTAATCTAAGAGGTTCTATCACAGATTGCCTAAAAATCAATTAATTGTGCATGTTCAAGCACTCTAATGTGTCTTGTACAGACTGAGATAGGCATTTGCCTGCCCAGCCTCATCACAGTAGCTATTTTTCACCACAGACACTGCATTTTACTGTGAAATTGTGCTTCTGCACCTGGGTGTGGCCTCATCTCACCAAATATAACCAAAGTGAACAGTCTGACACTTATTTGTGTGAATCTTTCACATTTATAAGCCAACGTTACGTTGCTCTCTCCTACGTAACAGGTGTTATAAACCTGTTGGGCAAAAGAGTCTTCCACAAGCAAATTAATTTCATTTTAATCAGCGAGTTTCTTAGCCAAGCTTCTTCAGAAGATCTTTTAAGCTGAGTTTTCACTGTATTTTACTTTTTCTAGAATTCAGGTTTTGTCCTGTGTGCAGAATGACACTACACAGCAAGCTCCTCTCATGAGCAGAGGCAGGAAGAGCTGCAACAGCATCACGAGTTTAAGCTGTTCCCCTGCAACATCACAGCTCTCACACAGGCATCCTGGGGAAGGCAGATGCAAAGCAGCTTACAAACACCCTCAGCCTTTTAGTAAAGATGAAGAGAAGATGGAAGAGAAAAACATTTGCTTGTGCACACTCACTAATTTTTTATTCTTTATTCATTGAGAGCAGGGAACAGGGAAGTTAAAGCTCTACAGTTCTGAGGTGGTTCCACACCAAGCAAATTTGGGCTTCATTATGTCAGCAACGAGGCTTGGAAGTCAGCCTGTTTAACTTACAAATTAAAAACCTACAGAAAAGATTAAGGAAACCTTGGGAAAAATAAGACCCCAAGACTATACTTTCAGTTCTTCAAGGTAAAGCAGAACAAAATTCCACACAAGCCACCTGAATTCTCCTCTGGGGGTAAATAAAACTTGTGCTGTTTATTTGTCAGCAAGTGGAATTCCCCTAAATTTATGAATTATGATAAAGATCAGGAAAGAACCATGTGTTCATACCTGGGCTTGCAGATTTACAGCAGGTTTGAAATGGCAGTGTAGAGATCCTAACATTATATGCAAAGATAAGGACATTTAAGATGTTCTTTATTACATGTCTTCTTTTGTCTCAGCAGTAAGGTGTGACTGGGATAAAACTCATCAAGTAGCAAGAGACAACAGACAAAGGAACAAAAGGATATTCCAGTGCTGAGACAAAGTATCTGTTATTCTCTCAGCAGTGCTCAGCCTCTTTTAGCAGTACAATTATTTTCCAAAGTCCATCAATTACCAAATTTTAAATATGTGAATGCATGTCTCTGTCAGGACTGAAACTTGTGCAGAAAAGAGTCAATGAGAAATTTAAAATGTCAGAGTGACCCCAAAGCACACCTACATTAATAAGTTAGTGGGACTGTTGGCAAACACAGAGCAAATCCAAGATAAAGCATCTAGAGAAATCAAGGCTGGCTACAGAGTCATGTTGGGAGCCTGTGAATAAACCCTGCAGAGAAGACAATAGTCTGGCTGGCCATAGTGAACCTCTGAATGCCATTACAAAGTTCATAAAATGTTTAGAAGGTTTCTTCGATCTAACTTGAGTGATTTAAAGTATACATTTATCTACTTCTGTACTGCCCCATAAACTTCAAAACTGCATGGGAACAACTCACTCTTTTATTAAGCAAATACCAGTTACTTACAGATATTGTTGGCCTCACAAGGAAATGGAAGGAAGAGCAACAGTGCAAAACCAAAACTACATTTACCCCAAACACCCGAAAATATTTTAAATAAAAACTAAGTCAAGCCACACACACTCACTGCTAGGAGGTCTTGATCAGGGATTCAAGAAATACTTTAGAGCCACAATATTCTTAACCTAACATGCTCCACCATTATAGTTAAACCATTTTTTTTCTTGATTTGGGAGATAAAATGCTCCAGGAATGACATCCTTTTCCCTGCCTCCCCCTCATCCCTATGAACAAAACTGAAATGGTATAAAACCATGAGAAATAGTTTCATAGAGCTACCCTTAAAAGTGTCTTGACAGCCAAACTTTGTCAAACGATGCACAGAGCATAAAAATAACTGATTACTGTAAAAATATCCTCAGCAGAAAGAGTCTTGGTATCTACAAAAATAGAAAAACATTTATTTCATATACTCCGTAGTTTTTCATTCTAGTTTCTATCAAATTTGGGGCTACAGCAAATCATTACCCAGCAAGATAGACTTAGTGTTTAAACATCCTGTAGTTTAACAGTAATGTCAACCATATTGGCAGATAAGAATTTTTACCAATGATGTGTAGCATTTGCAGTGTTTTAAATATGTTTCATAAAATGTTTCAAGCTCCGTTTAATATAAATAGTAAGAAAAAAGTTCTTTATCAAGCAGAATAAGAAGTATTAACAATAAAAGATAACAAAGTAGCAGCTGTTCAGCCAGTGATACCTTTAAACTCTTGTAGTAAATGGTCCTGTTGATCTCCAGAGGAAAGAGGTTCTGCTCCTTCCCTGAGCGGGCCCAGTTTATGTAGCGCAGCCAGTTGCCCTTCTCTGGGTCGGTGGCATCCACACACATCCAGCCCAGGTTGGGGTAATACACCTGAGAGAGACAGCAGAGGCTCACAGCACCACTGCAGCACTGCAGCACTGCATTCCACAGCCACACACAGCACCACTGCAGCACCACAGCCACACACAGCACCACTGCAGCACTGCAGCACTGCATTCCACAGCCACACACAGCACCACTGCAGCACTGCAGCACTGCATTCCACAGCCACACACAGCACCACTGCAGCACTGCATTGCACAGCCACACACAGCACCACTGCAGCACTGCATTGCACAGCCACACACAGCACCACTGCAGCACTGCATTGCACAGCCACACACTGCACCACTGCAGCACTGCAGCACTGCGTTCCACAGCCACACACAGCACCACTGCAGCACTGCACTCCACAGCCACACACAGCACCACTGCAGCACTGCAGCACTGCATTCCACAGCCACACACAGCAGCACTGCAGCACTGCAGCACTGCATTGCACAGCCACACACAGCACCCAGCACCACCAGGGCTGTGCTGGTGCTGCTCTCCTGCAACCTTTTAGAGAAACTGCTACACTTGGAACAAAACCCACCCGTGGCCTGCAATCCCATCTCTGAAGGCTCTGGGCTCAGAAGCCAAAAGCCTTAAAACATTTTACACTTTTTTTTTCAGTTTGGCAAACCTGAAATGATACTCTAGATTCTGCAATTCATAAATTGACTGATTTTAAGATATGAAGGCCACAGAGCTTTACTTGCACCATCTGATGAACTGGGAAAAGTAACTATATAGAAGCTAGAAGCATTTGCTTTATTTGGAAAGATATAGGAAAGCATGCTTTATATTTAATCTTTTTCTAGGGTACAAAAGAACATTTTAACTTTTCAGAAATCTTGTGATCACTTTAAAAAATTGACCATGTCAATAAAATTCTGCATGTTCCAAGATGCTGTGTAAATTCTTTGGTTTCTGTTCCTGGAGAAAAGGCTCACACCTACTCTTGGTTTACATTTCCAGACAACTTGCAATAAAACAAGAAGGGGACTGACATCTTCACTATTTTCTGATGACAGGTGACTCTGCTTCTCTTTCAAGATATTATGCTTCTCCCTCTCTCTTATCATCCATCTTAGATGCCTATAAGAAGAGCTATCAGTGGGCATTTCTCCTTTTCTGTTTTTCTAGAAGAGTAGCTTTTTATTTTCTGATACTTTACAAATAATTCCAAGGCTTTTCAAACTGTTCTCCACTTTCAATCTTACATACACTTCTATAACAGCTTAGAAAAACACCTACTTAATAAATTCAATTTTTTGGGGGGGATGATAACACTGTTGATTTAATGAAATAGAATTTTATCAATAAAATTCAAGTTTTAACAAATATCCAACCATCTTAGTTTCTTTCCAAGTAAACAGAAAATATCTCCCTTAAACTATTTCAGCATGGATTTCATCAGCTGACTTTTGAAAGAATGTTCACCAGCACACCCAGCCCTTGCAATATGAAAGCATAAACAGCATCCCAGGTGACACTGCAAAAGCAATTCTTTTGGTTAAAAGGGAAGAGAAGAGCCAAATAATGCTGTGGGAGAGTCTAAATGTAATTACTGATTAGTTTAATATATATAACCCTACTATGTTTTTATATTACTTTATTATGGGTTTTCCACCAAACCAAAATACTTTATTGCTTTTCTCATTTACAGACTATTACAGTCTAATTTACAGAATATTGTTTAAAGGACTTGTGCACTGTGAGAAAGAAAATAGCTCCAACTCCTCTCCATAACATTGTGACTTCAAGTGATTCCTGTACCCACAATAAAACCCACTCAGCACAGCTGTGCCAGTCATTCCAAACCAGCATTTCCCTCCCTTTTCAGACACTTGCTCTCATTTTCCCAACTGTGGCTTTTCACCAGTAGAAAAGGAAAAGATGTTCTCTCCTCAGACAGCAGAGGCATATACTGAGACACACAACTCATCTTTTTTACAATGAGCCTCTGGTATGATAGCTCAAAATCATTAAAATTGACTGGAGATGCCAGTTTTAGAAGCCTTATTTTTTATTCAGATTAATTTGACTAAAGATGCGAATGGAAAAGGTTCTTCCCCAAGTTGAGTGTCCACGTACTGAACTGCTCCTACACACCACCATCCTTCTACAAACCACATTTTCCAACAGTTGAGATTCTGGACTGGTTTCAAGGATCAGCATATGGGACCAACTGCTGCAGTCTCATTTTAGCTGCTTTTTAACTAACTCTAAAATCACTATTAAAGCAACACACAATTACTCTGGAATCTAATAAGGGTTCCCATTTTTCACCTGCATTGCAAACCAGGAAACTCTGAAACAGCTGGCTTGCAACTATCATTTCTCAACACAAGCTGAAAAAATATCCACATGAACACTCAGCATCCAGCACTGAGAAACACAACTGTAAGGTCAATAATTTACTTGACAGATTCAATCTCACCAAATGTTCCTGTAACAGATCAAAACTGAGATACCTTATGCAGTGGAGTTTGTGATAGCATGAGCTTAGTGCAATGAACATTATACTTGAAAACTATATTGCTTTTCTAAAGGGTAATTTGCATTTATGGGAATGTCCTAGATCAATTCCTCTGATAGAGGTTAACTCAAAGCTCAGTACATGTTTTCAGTGTTTTAGGCATTTTTGCAAACAAGGGGACAGAAGGATGGAAGACCATTATCAGGGTCTTCAGCCTAAAAATCCATGTTCCAGAACATTCTATGCCACAGTTCCTTCACCCCTCATCTCCTTGACTATTCACTTCACTAAAACCATGTCCTGTGTTTGTCTTCAGAAAGACTGATGAAGTCTTTGGAATTGGTTATAAACTGCCTTAAAAGACACTGTAGATGGGATTTAGCCCCAGATTATGACATCTACAATTTGAAATCTGCATAATATCCAAGGTCTCCTGACTACCAGTGGAGCTTCCAGAGCTGTTCAAGTGCCCAGACAACATGTGCTTCAAGACAAGCCCAGCACAAGAAATATTGGAGCACTTGAGAAATCTTATAAAAACTCCAAAAGCTGGTTTTCAAAGAGCTAAATGAGGAGGAGTGATGTGACTTCCTTATTATTAATTATTATATCCATATCCTCCTAATTTCCCTAATTTCCCTAATTTCATAAGCAGTTGACAGCACTGAGTTACACTCAGGCTTCAAGTCAACAAAGCAAAGATCAGCAACAAACTCTTAAGGACAGCTGTGATCCACAAAGCAATTTCAAACAATGCCAATGGTTTATAAAGCTTTGTAATTCAGAATTAGTTGTTCATCCAAGAGTCTATAAATAACCATAAGTAATGGCAGTAATAGATGGCAATTACCTTTCATCAAGTTTATTTACAAAATACCTGGAAAAAGTAAAGGCTAAATACAAAATATTGACCTGATGACAGGCACATTTTTCCATTTACAAGCTGTTTCTTACCTCCCACATGTACACATTGCTCTTAACTTGAGATCTTTTTTTCTTATCACCAACAAATGGTCCAAACTTCTTGCCTTTCAAAATTGACTTTGTTGCCCAGACACCTGAGGAGACAAGTATCAAGAGTTAAAACTAATCTAAGTTACTTCAAGCAAATCTTCTACTCAAAATTCATATTTCTTAAGATCATTACATGTCTCTGTTTTGGATTGTGAAGCTGTCCACTCTTCCCAAGAGGAATTATTTCAGACAAATACACCAGACATCATCTGTGTCTTCTCCTTTCACAGTTGTAGCACTCACCAAGCCGAGTCTTGTCAACAGCAGATGGGAAGAGCCTCACGTCCTCAGGAAGGCCCCTAAGCACGTGCTCAGGAACATCATCCAAGGTCTCCACAGCAACAGGGGCGTCAGTTGTGCTCTACAAGTCAAAAAGCCAACCACCATTAACAGGCAAAACTGACTACAAAACAGGTGATCAACCCACATGAACTTCAAAACCTTCTGACTTGCAATTAAAGTAAAATTTCCAAACTCACCACACTGAGGATTATTTTATGTGATAATTATATGTGATAATTTCACATATATTAGCAATTATTTGTTTCCCTTTTTCGAAGAATGACTTCCAGGCATACTCAACCTAATCAGTCCACCAAAAACAATCTAAAATAGTTTCTCCTCTTGCCTTATGTGGCAAAATGCCCCTTGTGAGAAAGACTAAAAAGCACCTTCACTATAAAACCAAACTCAAAGTTCCAAGAAGTGCATACAGTTAAAAAATCTGAAGTTACTTGCTCTGCTGATTGAAGTGAGTGTGTTGCAATAAATGAACCAGTGCAGACAGGAGAATCTGCACTTGGGACACACCATCCACTGCCACAGCTAGCATGATGCTCAGCCTGGAACGGGGTAAGACAATGCCCTATTTGCAAAGCTGTCATGGGGAATGGAGAGGGGTGGGGTCACGCTGCTTCTGGTACTGAATAATGCTAAAACCAGGCAGACTCATCAATCCCCAAGTTAAACATCCTGAGGATGAGGAGAAGATGTGGCAGGGCTGACAAAACACCCAATGAAGGAACAGAGAAGTGATAACCTGCCAAAAGCTGCTGAGCTGGCACAGCTGCCTGGGGATACCTGACTGACAGTCCAGCACTCCATCCTGGAAAAGCCAAGGCCCACTTTTGAACAGCTCTTCTGACACACCTCTTCTGACACATCTCTTCGCCCCTCAAGGGCATCTTTCAAGGCCACCCCCTGCCATGGGCAGGGACACCTCCCACTGTCCCAGGCTGCTCCAAGCCCTGTCCAGCCTGGCCTTGGACACTTCCAGGGATCCAGGGGCAGCCCCAGCTGCTCTGGGCACCAGTGCCAGGGCCTGCCCACCCTCCCAGCCAATGTAAACCTGCTCTCTGCCAGCGTGGAGCCATTCCCCTTTGTCCTGTCACTACAGTTCTTGGTGATGAAAGTATGTGCATGTCAAGTTTACTGCTCTGCAACAAAGAGATTAAACTAAAAGCAGCTTTTAAAGAGAATAAAAGGGTTTTAATAGTAATTATTTCAGTATCATAAATGTTACTCACATTTCCTGCATCAAGTAACAACTCAGAACTTTAGCCAACAGCTTATAATTAATACAAGAAGATATTTTTATATTAAAGTTTGATAGGCAATACAAAGCTAATAAATTATTTACTGTCTGGTAAGTGATTAGTTCCATTCTATGGAGCCTCCAAGGTTCAATATTATTCTTATAATATTATCCATATTATTACTACTTGCACTTGTCATAAAACAACCTGCTCCCTATTACACGCTTAAAATTAACAAAACACTATTTCTGATAGAAATTACCAGAATTTCAAAGTTATGAGAATGCAAAGTTTCCTATAAAATCTACCCACATTCTGAAAGAACTGTGCTTGGTGAAAACTAAGCCTTTATTGAACCACATGCCCTAAAATAACTCCCTGCTTTTTGATATGGAACTCTAACCATTCTGGTCAGGAACAAACACTGCTGGTAATGGCAGGAACAACTCTAATATTAAGGATGTTATACTTGACCTCTGAACCCCTTCTTAGGGACAGGTTAAACTGAGATATTTTTCCAAATAAACTTTATTTTTTTGTAAATTACTCTAGCTTTTACCCATAACCATAAAGCAGAGAGAGAGTTTTCACATACTGAATAATAAACTACTGAGTAATACTCCGAGTACTTTCCAGCGAGTACTTTTGAAATACGCTAAAAGGTTACTGGAAATGTATTTTATAATGCATCTCAATATACTATCAAATTTCATTTTTTTCTCTCTAAAGCAAAACAGATAAAGCTTCTCAGTCCTTGCTCCTCAGCACCCAGTCTTTGTCAGACCATCAATCACTATATCTGAAAACCCAATTTGCTGAGTGGAGTTAAAAGAACAAGTCTTCTGCCAGTTTTAATTGTAACAATGAGGAGAAGTGTAAAACTGTTGTTAGAGCAAGGTTACTCTAGTGCTGCCTTCATAAGCCTTAACAGCTGCACAGAGCTCCCAGAGAGCTATTTGTAGGGGAGAAAGACCCTCAAATTGGAAACCATGGGAGGGAGAGAATGCCAAAAATCCCTTCCCATCCAAGAGTGTAGACACCAAGGATAAAAACTTATTCATTAGGTAGAATAGCTGAAGTCTATTCAAAGCAGAGCAGAGCTTTATTTTGCTCTTCCAACAACCCAAAAGAAAAAATACTGATGAAAGCAGCCTGATTTTCAGACATCTGTTTGCCTTGGACTGATAGGCAAGAAGCCATGTCTCAGCTGAAAAAGAAACATGCTCTTCTCAGCATATCAAAGAAACCTAAACATCTTCCCAGAACATTACTCCAGGATTTCATCAGGTGAGAAACAAGTCTATTTTTCCCAGAGGTTTCTAACAAATTATATACAGAAATAGAAGAAGGTGGCTGACAACTCTCAGAATGGTGCACTTCCAGTTCCAAGCTAAAAGCAGGATGCCTTTTTTTTTGGCTGGATTTCATTTGGGGGTTTGGTTTCTTTGGAGAGCGTTGGTTTTGGTTTGGGGTTTTGATGAGCAGTTAAAAATCTTAAACCTCAACCCTGCAAATAAATTTCAACCTATCAAAGCAGACTCAACTGATTCAGACAGAAGTGTACAGCAGTGTGATATATCTTTGATTTTCCTGGTATATTCTTTAATAGTCACACCTTTTAACTGTAAATATCCCCAAACTGCCCTACCATTTAAGTGTATTTTATGAAGTAGTGTACGTCAGAATTTTATTATGCATCTACCTACATAAATCAGAGATTTGCAGGACATTCAGAGAGCACAACACTCAGACTCATCCAACACCTGTCATGTTAATGGATTTCACAAGTATTAAAAAACTGGATATGGCCTTTATAAAACAATATATTTCACACCTCAAATGAATGGTAATAAGCAATCAAATTCAAAACAGTAAAATAAACAATTTAGTTCAGTCAAATCAGTGCAATCTCTGTTTATTTGCAATTTAGATGTAGCTACTTGAAACTTTTTCCAGATCACAACTTGTCCCCAAGCAATGTCTGTCTACCATAAAGAAATAATGTATTTCAATCACTTTTCTACAAAGACTTAACAATCACATTTAAATTTATTTTTCATTTACAAAATTTGCCTCTTGATAAGGGGAGAGCACTTGTGCATGTCCTACAGCCAACTTCTGCATTTATCTGAATCCTTAACACAGTATTTTTCACTCCTTCCAAGGCTGCAATTTTGAATACAAAAACACCTGAAGCTAATTTCACTTTAAAGCTTTTTACTCCGAAGTTCATCAGAAAATTACATTCTAGCATTTAAATCAGCTAGTATGAAGTGACTTTAGAACAATGCCAAAGGATCATTTGAGAGCTGAAGTGGTGCCTTAACTGAAAAAATCTTTTCCTGCTTGCATCAAATCCAGAGTCCCTACACCCTGACAGTACCTTTTAACACATTAAGCAACTTTTCACACCACTTTCAGTATAATTGTACTCCTGAATCAACCACAGATTAGCCTATAATGTTACAAACAGTATTTAAGAAGAATCCAAAAGGCACCTGCAACAAGATATTTACAGGTGATAAAAGATTAGAGTGAAAAGGAAAGAAACCATCCCGAACAGTGCAATGAATGACAGACTGCCAGTTAGTGTCATGTGAGGGTGGAAACAGGATTAGGATAAATGAGAAGATAAAGGAAAGGATGTCACTGAAGAGGGAGGAGGGAGGGAGATGGCAGAGAAGTTAAAAGAGGTAGCTGAGGAAGGGTAGTTGTGCCAGCTAGCACAGGAAAGCAGACAGGTCTCTCCTTGCCCAGGCACCTACCTGGCTATCCCTCTTTGCCACAATTTAACACAAATAGTGTGCTTGAAAATTAAAGATAAATTGGAGATATTTGAAATAATCTCTGAAAAGTTCAGAAGGAATTGGGGGAGGAAGTTTCAGTACAAATGCAGGTGTCCTTTGTTCCTGTATTCCTCAGCAATTTTTTAAGTAACTGCCCATGCCGTTTTCCCAGTAGAACCCAAATTCCTCCTACTCTGTCTTACTGCAGTCTGAGATAATGCTACCAATCAAACCTCATGTTTGCTTGGGGTTCTTAAAATAAATTATTAAGCTATTCTGATGAACTAATTTACATATTAGAGGAAGATCTCCTTTTAAAAGAGGACACATACTGCCTATCTTAAGACAGCAATCTTCCACAAAACCCAAAAACATGAACTCCAACAACAAATGGGTTTTTTTAAAATCCTTCTTCTCTTTACAACAAGAAGGCCATATCAAAGAATTTGAGAAAAGGTTTTCCTTCACTACTTCAGGATTTCTGTGGGATAAACCACAAAACTAACAGACTTTTCATATAAAGCAAATCAACACCAGCCCAGTTAGTTTCATGGTCACTGAAGTCACACCAAAAGCAGAGACAAGCAGAATGAAAGAAATATGAGAACAAACCACTTGAAAGATGCTTGGCATCAGGCAAAAACATTTCTTATACAGACCTGGCACTACAACTTGTCAACAGTGAATGAAATGACAAGGGCACTGCAAGAAAAAACACCACAGGGTTGATGCTAAATACATAATATGAAAGATCAGAGAACAATTAAAAGCCATATGAGCTCCATGGGCTTTGGAAACCAAAGGTGAAAGCCAGAAACACCAAGGAGGACGCTAAGCTGTTGTAAGAACTCCCTGAGGAAGGGTCATTTCACCCTTTAATTGTAAGATGAAACACATCACAGCATGGTATAAATGAGACCACAGTCCTCATAAGAAAGATGAGGATTTTTGATATAACACTGAAATCTGATTTAATCCTATAAACAAACTGGGGTGTAGGAACACAGCAACAGACAGGACACGAGGGGACATGGACACACACAGGGGAAGGAAGCAGTCAATAGTAACAATTACAGATTAGGGTCTACAGTTTTCAGAGTTTTAGTAGACTCCAAAGCTTATTGGAATGACTAATAAGGCAGGATTATTCCTCAAGCAGACAGAGCAATAGGCTGCTGGCTTCATGCCACTGAGTGCATCAAAACAAATCTTACAGGTGAAAAAACTTCAATTCTCAACAGAAATTTTGAAGCAGCAGTTAATCCTACCCCCCAAAACAGACTATTAATGCTTAAAAGTGTGCTAAAGCAAATGTCATTTCTATTTTATATATATAGTTCATATTTGTCTATAGATATAATACAAGTATGTGTTTTCATAACATATATTTCAATGCTCTGATAGAGATTATATTTTTCTTTTCCCCTTTTTAATATGTAATGATATATTGAAGACTTTTTACTTTAAATCAGAGAAAAAAAGCAACTGGAAACACCCCACCAACCCTTTCCATTCTGTAATTACTTATGCATTTACCTCTATGACTTCATGGAAAACATACTTCAGCAAATGCTAACTGTATTCAGGCCTGCTCTGATCAAATAAGGATAATAAAAGCACACATTGGCTACAGGCATTGAAGTATACAAAGCATTTTATACTGCTGCGTACTGTGGTTGTTTCTGACTCATAAAGCTTCTGTTCATGGCTGATTTTCTCAGCAAAGTAAAAATGGCTTTCCTATGGTAACATTCCCATGCCAAAGGGGGCTTGGTAATATCAGCCAGAGAGAGGAGGACTTGTGAGAAAAGTTTGAGGCAACATGTACTTTTTCTATATTTCTAAATAACACAACTGTGTGTAACAGACAAACTGATGGACAATTCCTACTTGGATAAACAAATGCAGAAAAAAATGCTGCAAACAGTTGGTGCTGATTACAACAACACCCTCCAGTCAGGATACTCGTGACTCCACACAGCAAAGCGCTGCTCCACAAAGGAAATGTGCTTTCCCAGTCCTTCCTCTTGGTTCCAGGAGAAACACTTCAGATTCCAGAAAAGTGTGACATTTCCCAATCAATCAATTTGAGGCAGATTGTTTACTGCACACTTGAAAAAGGAATGTGATTATAAAAGGATTTTAAAAAATGGAAGCCTTCAATTCTCAAACCATTTTTATAAGGAACTGAATTATTACGTACAGCTTCAGGAGTAAATAGAATTTTCTGGGGAGGTGTTCTTAGAAGAGGTGCCAGGAGTAATAACTTACACACTGCTAAAGGGAATTCACAAAAACCTTAAATCCATGAAGTAACAGACATCTCACAAGCATACACGCTATAGAATGGATGATTACGAAATTTAATGAGACCAAAGATTTGAAAGAACATTTTTTAGTGGATGATTTACTTTTCTTATTAATAATTAACTGTTCTAAGTATTTTGATAAAGTCTTACATTTCTACTCACCTGATTCATTTTGAATTCCTGTTGTGTTCTGAAAAGATACACACAACAAAGAAACTCCTTTGATTACATGAACCCTAAAAAGAAAAACAGACAATTGTAATACGTACCTACGTACAAATTTACATTGAACTGAAAGAACACACAGAGCTGTAGTTTTCTTCCTAAATCATCTGTAGAAAAGGAGCATTTTGCTTTAGAAAAAATCTGCTCCAAGCTATGGTTTTGTTATTACAGCTCAAGTGTGTCTGAATAATCTCAAGGTGAATATCTAGCATTAATCTTTTCCCTGTTTTAAATTATGACGTAACAGATGTGCTCAGGTAAGGTCGTTCCATTTGTTTTTTAAAGTCACTTAGTTTGCTCAAGATTGAGTACTTTTAAGAACTTTAGAAGTCAGATCTCTTTAGAATTTTATATCAAAGCATTATTGAAGGTCTTATGTGGTTTTCAGATTTTAAAAAATGCATGTATTGAGTCTCTTCTATATTAGAAACAGGAAAATGTTCCTTAAATTGAACTGTATTGAAGTATTTTATTACACTAATGCATTTTACGTTCCTTTTTAATAAAAGCCTGAGATTTCAAAAGGTATCTGGCAAAAATTCCCAGTTCAAGTAGGCATCAAATTTGGAAACTCATGACTTAATGGAAAACTATTCAGAATGATGCCATATCTAAGCATCAAGATCAACTCACTTCCTTTCTTTTTTAATGTATACAAAACAGCTTTTTTGCAAATTAGGCCAAAAACACTTTTAGTCTCATTGTCATACACAATTTTCAATAAATTAATGTCCCCCATTTTTGAAAGTTAACTGGTCCCTCCTCACTTAAAGCACTTTATTCAAATACTGCTTTATCTTCCCTGTCTTTAGTTTTCTTATTATAATAACGTTCAACTGATTTTTTTTACTAAGCACTCTGCATAAGTACCAACATTTAATTTAAAATAAGTTCAAGCAAAATCTACTCCAAATACATTTCACATAATCCCTCACATCTTTACACTGCAAGAATTCTTAAGGCTTTGCAAAAGTGCCAACACTGCCAAGCATCATTCAAATGTTACACTGCTTAAGAAATCCATAAGAAAAGGGATTTAAAGTCTGCCAGCAAAGGCCAGTTATGGGATAAGGGATGTGAACAGCTTGTACACATCCAAAGAAAAGCATTCCTTTTGGAATGCATTATTACAAACTTTCTAACTTATTTCAGTATTGGAGTCAGTATAAACATCTGTACCTCAGCTGAGACCTGAACATCAGGGAAAAAACCAGCAATCTTATTCATTGTTCATTGGGACAAAACCCATGCAACATTGTTTTAAAAAGGAATTAAATGCATAGCAGCAGAGGTGTCAAATAATTTCCTAGTATTAAACCAAACTTACTTTTAGTATCAAATGCCTCATTTTTCTATACTGTTAGAATATTTTTATATAATTACTCACATAAAGTCTAGAAAAGCCAGAACCTCTCAAGGACACAGGAGCACAGCCTGAGGAGCACCAGGCTGTGGCTGGCAGGAGTTGATGTTGTTACTGTCTCCACCTGCCTATTTCCACCTTTTTCCCCCCCTCTCACCAAATATCATCATTCCCTCCATGCCACAGGCTCTGTTGTTCACTTCTGACCACAAATCTGGAATCTGGGAAACCCACTGCAGGAGCTGCCCGTGGCACAGTGGTGAATGATTCCTGTGACACCCATCTCCTGCACTGCACACTTTGCCCAAAACTCCAGATACACACACAGAGTAAGGATTTAAAGCACTGTCTTACAGAAGCAAACATTGAACACCATCACTATCCACTGCTAAATGTGTCAAATCTGAGACAAGTAAATAACAATAAAGTGATGGGCTGCAGAGTCAAAGTCCTGTCAAGCTGAAAATTTCCTCTCAGCTGAATTTTTCTTTCAAAAGATTTGAAAAGCAGACAAAATCTTCTTACTTTGTTTCATTTGAGCACTAAAAATACATTTTTCTTCTTTTTCATATACTAATTCAAAAATGCTTTGCTTAGAATTAATAGTTAACAAAGAATTTTCAAAACAAAAATAATGGTATTTTTACAAATGTTGTAAATATTTTATTCAACTTTTATAAAACTGGTTGTATCCAAACCTCTCAATGGTATTTCTTATGAGATGACAACACATCTTAAAAAACTGATGTAGTTAATCAACTACACAACAGTTTAGGCAGATTCCCAACAGACTGTACTACTCTATATTCTTTCAACTACCAATTACCAGTGGAGCCACTTGAGCATAAAACAGAATTAGGTGAAAAATTTGTAGTAAAGCAAAAGCTTTAACTAGTATTTTTAAAGCTATTAATTTAAAATACACACTTCTTATTAAAATTTTATTCCTGCAGTTCTGTGGTTTTTTGCCCTCTTCCACATTACTTATTTTATAACTATGTGGAAAGCAAGACTAATTGCACTGAAAAAGAAATACAATTAATACTGCACAGAGTCTTATGTGCAGCCACTAGTTTTCTTTCTACCTAAAATGAAATGTAAGAACAGAAGTATCTGTAAGAGTAAACTTGGGGTTTAACTTTTTGTACAAAAAGTTCAACAAACTCAAGAAAATATGAAACTAATTCTACAACTGCTGCCCAAAAATGAGTTCCGAGCACTATCAGTGAGTACCAACAGGATCTTTACTCTCATCACTGCAAGCAGGAACAAGCTCTGACTCCACACAGGGAGGAATTCCCAGGTCCTGTGCAGGATTTCCCAGAAAAGCCCCACAGAAAACCACGCTGCTCTGATGAGGCACCAGAGTAATCTGTCATCTATTAAAGGTACAACCATGGCCCTGCTAAATCAGTTAGTAATAGTCAACAACTGCATTAGTACTTTGAAAAAGTCACTCAGCAGCTCCATCAAATACAGGTAACAAGTATTTTCATCCAACTTTTGCTCCAAACTCATAACCTAACCTATTAAAGACCTGGATATTGTTAATAACACTTGCCACAGTAAACTTCAGCCATTCACCGACAGCCCCAGGAAAAGAACAATAAAGGTTCTATCCCAAAAGTGAAGCACACACACCAGCAACCTGAATTTTCCAAATTAATTCTCAGAAAACATTTCCAAGTCATATTGATTTTAAACTACTACTTACTGCTCTATCTCATGAGTACAAAAAATACCACACACTTACTCAAGATATTAAAGCATCTGGGAAACAAAGAAGAGAAAAGATCTACTGCATGAAGTTATCTTTGAGTTTCAGAAAAAATTCTTTTTGAATGTAATTTGTTGACTAAAACTGAGCCTTTCAGAAAAAAATCTTTTTCTGAAAGGCTCAGTTTTAGCCAACAAATTACATTTATTCATATAAGAATATACAGAGCATTTGTGTCTAAGGAAACACTGTGGTCTCTAAAACAAAATGCTTAAAGCAAAAGGTATTTTGACTTTATTTCTGAACCTATGCTTCAGAATTTTAAATATTCCCTTAGAAAACCTATAATTTGTTAGGAATAAAGTCTGCAAACAAAAGCTATTTTATTCAAAACCATCATTGCAGATCATCCCTTTCCAACTCAATCAGACTAGTAAGCATTCCTAGGTTTTACCAAGTAGACAATCTTCTGGTTTTATAAGCCATATTTATAATTTCTGTATGTGAGGGTTTTTTAAATCCCAGAATCAAAAAGCATTGTGAAAGAGAATGCTGCTTCCAATGCAGATGAAGGAAAAACCAGGCATGAGAATATCAATCCTATTTTGGAAGCTGAAAATGGGACATGCATTACGTCACTGCTCCAGTAAAAACATGTTCATTAGAGAACCAGGAACAACTTGAAAGTCTCCACGGCCTGTTTTCCTAATGACCGAGGTTCAGGCTGGGATACTGCACAGCTCTTGGCTTTGTTTTACTTTCTAGCTGCAGCACATGACTGTTTTTTAAACATCACGACATCTACATGTTTTCAATGCTGAAATACTCTCATCCACGAATTTTCCACGCATTAGGTGAAATAAAGCTTGCCAATTTAAAAACATAAAGTTCATGTTAACTCTAAAAGATTAAAATATGCATGTGATAGGGCATCCTGTTTCCTCTGACAGGCACTAAAATGCAAAGACATTTTCAGTTATTCAAGGCTGCCTGAATAAGAACAGAGTAAAAATGGGCAGACAATGATTTTCTGAACATTAAAATCTATTACCTATTGTCCAATAAGAAAAAAGACTTTGCTTACTGCCACGTAACCAAAGAAACTGTTACACCTTAGGAAGGTTTATTCAGGTAACTAGGATAACAAGCCAAGACCAATCTCCAGATATGAATGCACTTTGACTCACAAATGCAGTAAAACCCAATGAAAATTTTCTCAGATAAGTACACTGCTGATTTACTCCTATGTGAAAAAGCCGATTTCAGCCTTTTTTTTTTACAACACAGGACTCGTCCTCCCACTTTTGACTACAGCATATTTTATACAGAGGCCAAGAAGAAATATTTTCCAGCTCATTATGCTCAGTGGAGAAAAAACACAACGGTTAAAGAAATTATGTCATTTGGGGGTTTAGGTATCAGGATCATATCTGCCCTTTCCATGCAAACAAGTTCAACAGCGAAGATACTACAGTACTTTAAACAGGTTTGCCAAGGCAGGAATACATTACTGGTCATCTTCAAACCTCTCTGAATTCCTCTTTCCAACAGAGAGATACCCAGTAAGCTGCATCTCCCTTTTATACACTTTATATTACTTGTTTATCCCTAAGGATCAAGGCTTTTATGTGTAATAGTGAAATGGAGATGTCACTGCACTGCAGGATGGACTCCCAGAGCCATTTCAGTTCTTACAGAGAAAGACTTTCTGCTTTATTTCTCTTCCATTCTCAAGCAAATTTTCAATAGTAAAAAATGGTTGTCTTATAGAAATGCACAGAAGTGCTTGAACATTCTTCCCACTTTCCATGCTGTGCTGGTAGAAAGCTGTTCCTTGGATTCCCATGAAACAGGCACCAACTCAGGAATCTCCACACACCATACTTATCATGGCATTTCTAGCAAAGATACTGTATCCAAAGTGCTGTTTTA